TGCAATGTTGTCAGTCCTTAGCAGCCGCCCACCCCTGCGTGAGCAGCTGCAGCAGGATTTTCCCCGGAAGCGTGACTCGGTGCAGCGCTGGACCCGGCTAAAAGCCCTTGCTGAGAAGTCCAGGGTGAGACGCTGGGGGGGATGGGGTACCTGGAGGGGGCACTGGGAGGCTGTTGAGGGGGGCAGGCCACTGCTGGGGGCAGGGGGAATTCAACTGTCCCTGTTTTCCAACCCCCACAGCAGTCCTCAAGCAGCTCGAAGAAGCTGCCATCCTACGTAGAGCAGGAAATCATGCTGCAGTTCTGTTTCCCACGCCTGGATGGCAACGTCAGCAAGAGCCTCAACCACCTGCTCAAGAGCCCCTTCAGTGTCCACCCCAAGACAGGTACAGCCTGGGGAAAGAGGCCCCCAGGGCAGGGAGTGGACCCTGGTGGGCCTGGACATGATGTGGACTTTGCCCCCGGCAGGTCGCATTTCAGTCCCCATTGACGTTCAGCAGCTGGAGCAGTTCAACCCCTTCGCCGTCCCCACCATCAGGTAGCCGGGGGTCGCTGGAGCTGGGGGGGAGCCCCTTTGGGCTGCTCTGCCCAGTCCCGAGCAGGCCATCCCAGCAGCAGAGTGGCCTCAGGGGCTTCTGGTCAGTCCCTTCCTACTCTCTGGAGTATCTTGTACCCGGCTGGGGGTAGGGGGTCTTACTCTTCTTCTCCTCTAGCTCTCTCTGCCGTGAGCTAGATGAGGCCAACGACGAGGACAAGGACAAGGAGAATGAGGAGAATCCTGAGCCCAGGCGCCGCGTCCGGGGTGAGCAAGTTGTGAGCCCCTGAGGTGCATCCCCGTGCCTCAGTTTCCTCTCCCAGCGAGCTCGCCAGGACAGGTTGTGTCCCTTAGCCCGGCTGCGCTGTCCCCAGAGCCTGGGGTCAGCGCTGTGACACTTGGCACTGGCGCCATGGAGATTCCTGCCCTGGCCATGAGGGTCAAAGCCTGGCTGGGCTGTGCCAGAAGTCAGCCCAGAAAGGCAGCCTGGGATGGACATATTGGCTACTCCTGGTGGCGGGGCCATGGGGCAGCTGCGTGGTGGGGGATCTTCACACAGCACCCCACACATCTCATCCCTCAGACTACAAGAGGACCAGCCTGGCACCCTACGTACGGGTCTTCGAGTGCTTTGTGGAGGACATGGAGCGGGCTCGCAGGGGTGAGCTGCTTCGGAGGAGTGGTAAGAGACAGACCAGGCTGGGCGGGGGTGCCTCTACCTCTCCCTTCCCCAGGATCCGGCAGGGGGGCAAGAGATCCCACAGGGCAGGGGGCTTTGGCAGGTAGGCGGGGTCTGAGCAGCAAAGTGGGGGGGGTTCAGCCTGTTCCTGCTGCTGCAACCCCCTTCTTTTCCCTGCAGACCTGCAAGCAGACTTCTGAGGTTCCCTGCCCAGACCTCCCCCATCTTCTGCGCCTTCCTCAGAGACATGGGCATGGTCATCATCACTGACCAACATCTTTTTGGATGGCTTCTCTGGTCTCCCAGCTCTACACTTCTTTCTTGCCTGTGACGTGGTCTCTGCTCTCTCCCACCTCTGGGAGCATGAGGCAGGCAGCAGCCGGGTGCTTCATCCCGGGCTTCCTCCTTTTGTACTTTTTGTATGCAAAAGCCATTAAAAGTTTCAGTGAAAGCTGCTGCAAGTGTGCAGCCAGTGGGCCAAGATCAACAGGATGCGTCTGGGACGGAGGGGACGCCATCCCCTGCGTCCTGGGAAGGAGGATGTGTGCGAGTGGAAGTCAGCGCCGGGAGGGAGGAGGGGGGTAAGCTGCTCTCACCCCAGACTGTTTTGGCCACAGGCTCTATTTCCCTGCAGGGGTTTTCTCAGCAGGTGGCAGTGGGAGGTCTTGGTGAGGACAAGTGGGGGGGGACTGCCTGGCACCTGTGCTGGGGTACAAGCACAGCTCTGGCTTCCCTTTGGGGCAATTCCCCCCAGCAGGTTTCTCTAAGGGTGGCACCCTACGGCTTTCGCACCTCTGTTATCCGCACGGGGGGACTCGGGCCTGAATGCAAATGGAGCAAACAAGGCACCGGAGCGACCTGGGCCCCTCAGTCCTCAAAGGGAGGGGGAGACAACCCCAGGCTGCAGCCCTGGGCTCTGGCCTCTGCCCCCAGCAAGGGGCAGCGGGCAGCTCTGACCCATCCCAACCCTTGCCCCCAGCAAGGGACCAGGCGCAGATCCAGCTGAGCAGAGGGCAGCTCGGGGTCCCCCTGGCCCTGGGGAGCAGCCCCCTGTCCAGAGCCCGGGGGGCGGGGGCACGGAACAGCCACAACTGCAGCTCCCCGCGCGTAGGGAGGAGGGCGCTGCGGGGTACTGACCCCCTGACCCGGAAGTCCTCTGTTTCCCGGAAGTCGCTCCGCCAGTCTCTTTCGCTCTCTTTCTGCCGCCATCTTGGGCCCCGCTCCGCGCACGGTGAGTCCCGATGCTTCCATCCGCCGCCATCCGCGCAGGGCCGGGGGCGGCCGGGGGCGGCC